TCATTTGCTGATTGCTAGTTAGCAGTGCTAAAAGTTTGGCTTTGCCTTTCAAAATTTCTTTATTTTCATGTAAAAAAGAGTCAATTTCTTACTCTGATATAAGAATAAAACTTGTGCACTGTGGTAGAATATAATTCCATTATCACATTATCAAAACAAAAATTTACCCATAATGGAATTTCTTACTCTCCAAGTATATCACTTTTCTGAAATGTATTCAAAACTAATTTTTCAGCAAAACTGCCACCTCCCCATCTACTCTACTATAACATGGAAGAACGCAAAATGTTATTGTCTAGTAAGGGCTAAACCCTTTCTTATTCAGAAGGGAAGCTAAGCACCAACAACCAAAAACTCTCGGTAATTTTAGCACAAAATTGATCTCAATGGCGCGGGTACCTTCAACTCTTTGTGATCTCATAGGGATCCAACCATTCGATCCTCCATTTTTTTTCTCAATCTCAGGTTGACTTGTCGGCTTCTCGTGCAGATGCTTCGACGATGTCTGGTAACCATTTGAATACAATTGAATCGGTGAATGGTGACTAGCAGTGGAATCCAGGATAAAGCGCATTTCGTCCTATTTGGGACTCGTGAGCTGGCTGTGCCTGCATTTCCCAGTGACTGATGATGTTCCCACCGAGGCTCGAACCCAGTTCCCATAGTTTCAAACGCCAACCAAAGCGTTATCCACTAGACCACTTGGGCCACGAGTCACCTCTTGTGGAAACATCATCACTCAGTGCGGAATGCAGATGCATCCACTTGACGAGTCCCAAATATGCCGAAATACTTGTTATCCTGGATTCTAATACTAGTCACCACCCACCAATTAACTTCTAATTCTCAATCTATGCACACAACATACACAATAATTGAAGTTGAATAAATTTCATCATCAATTATAATTTTTGCAATAATTTATTCTCAGTTAGATAATAATTTTTTTTTGCATTATTTCTAATCTAACCTAACCTGTGAACACATTCAAATCTAGGAGGTAATTATCACCCTATTGATTTTCTATTGATTAGTAATTTACACCTGACCAGAGGAGACAGTAGGGAGGTGAGAGAGATAGAGAGCAACTAGGGACACTCATCATCGCCATCATTGCAGTTATAATCGGATTAATGCGTGAGAAATCGTGAAATTGTCTAAAAAGCCTCAAGTGGTTTAATTGTGTGGTGTGTTTGTTGGTTTGTGACATCGACTTACAATTACTAGTTACCATGATGAAAACGGTTATGTAACAACTGTATATCACGTGAAAATAATAATTAATTCATGGTAAATACCTACTAGGACATAGGAGAAAAAAGAATAAGAAGCTCAGCAAACAGATACCTTCTTACAGGATTTCATCATGAGCTGAGATAAGTTAGAGAATCATTGGATAACGAGTTGGGAGTACTGTACAGTTGTTTCTGTTGTCTTAGTCTGGGAATCTTCATCAGCACACATCCACACCGCGGGGTTCGAACCCAGGGCCTTAGCGTTACGAGGCGAGCTTGTAGATCATTCAGCCATTAGGACTCGATCCAGTGACCAGACTGTGAAATTCAACTTGTGTCAATTCATAACAGCACGACTACTAGGCAATGACATCGTCGGCGCGTATTTATTCTCACGCACGATCTGCTGCACCCTACCGGTCACACCTTCCCAATAGGATTTCGCTGTCTAATGTCATGTTTTGGTCGGACCACCACTATCTGTTTTCCAACCTGATTAATTCTGTCAGCTTACATCGGCTGGCAGTGGACAAAAATACGATCGATGCCTTGGCATGCGTAACACACGTCTTCTAAGCATCTCAATCAATGTAACTTTAGGCTGTCTTCAGTAGAAGAAAAGTCTCGGGATAATGATACTGAAAAATTGTGCTTCGATGGAGATAGAAGACCACTCATTCATGCATTAGATTTTTCAATTGAAAATTGTCAAAAAATCCTTTTAGCGAAAGGTATGAACAAAAAACCTGAAGTTATAAAACTACTTCCGCACTAGAACTACATAAAGTGGTACAATTTAACACTATCCTATCCATTAAGGATGCTAAGAATTAGTGAATACAGATTTTTCAGTGATATAAGTCAAATTCGTGCTCACTGGGGGCAGAATGCATCATTCAACTCTTTGTAATCTCGTAGATACATTTTTATTCAATCCACTTGTCTCTCTGTGTAGTTTATTCTCCCCCCACCCTGTACAATTTCTGCACATTCTAGCTCTTATGAATTTCTTGTTTCGACGTTATTTGGGACTATTTAAGCAGTATGCACTCATGAGCCATTGATCACCTACTAACGAATTCAGAAAATTCAGGTTACACAGCATACCTGTTTACCATTCACCAACACCACTGGGACGGAATCGAATGCTCTATCAATTCTAACTTCTGACAATTCACGATCTGATCACTCATGTTCAGCCTACTAGACCTGAGTGATCACAAATTCTTAGCGGAAAATGCAGATAACTTTATACAATAAGCAGTCAGTTATCTATTGATCCACTGCTGAAGCTCCATCACAAAGAGTTACGTTATTTGAATGCAAACCTGCACAACCTAAGTCAATGAAAGAAGCTGTTTGCCATATGGAATATATATATATATATATATATATATATATATAATGATGATTTAAGCTCATTTTATAGGTCTGTATAAGATTAATTTACTTTTGTCCCTTCTATCGACCCCACAAATAAAAAGTTTAGAAACATTTCAAGCATGAGAAAATTTAAGTTATAAAGCAAAATCAGTATTCTGCATGATGATATGTAATCACAATCCCTACCATAAAACAGAAAGATAATATTGTCACCAAGTCTTTGATCCTAGAATCAGCAATCATATACATATATATGCAGTCAAAACAGTGGGGATAAGAAAAAGGATTCAGAATCAAAATCCCTCAGAAGAGTCACGCAATTTACCATTGAAACCAACCAACCAACCAATAAATCAGTAATATAAAATAATATTCACACAATCAAAACAAAAAGGGGATTATCTTAAGGTGAAACTCTAGCTATAAAATTGATGAAGATGCACAATGGAATTCTGGTTTTTATTAACTTCAGGCCATTTAAATTATCACAGATGAAACAAACAGCTTATCCCATCTATCATTGATTGACCTCAAAACACATCAACTGCTGGAAACCAGAAACAACAGAGATCACATGAGATCAAAGGAGACATAAAAACAAGAGTATTCAGATATGTAGAGTGAAACGGTGATATCTGCTACTGAAGCCTTATAGTTAGTTCAATTATGAACAAGGAGATTTAGCTCATTAATGTTGAGTAAACCCTCCCCATTGAGTCAGTACGTTGTGAGTGGGTTCAAATCCTGCTCATTGAAGTATCATTAGCCCTTTAACTCCATATGTATGTAGGTATATGGAGCTGAGTACATCGGCCGTACAATGCGCCGACTTGAAAAACGCACTCGTAAACACTACCCAGCCTGGTTAGTAAAAGGAGACCAAGAGCGTGTATACAGTTCAGTGACAGAACATTTGGTCAATTCAGGACATTCAGCGCCTTTCGAAGAATCCTTCAAAGTAATATACAAGATTCAGTCAAACCTATCAAAGGGAGTAAAATCAAGACATCTGGGCATAGCCGAGGCACTAGCTATCCAAAAGCTCAAAACCACGCTGTGTATCCAAAAGGAATACGTCCACCCCTTGTCCCTGCCATGGCCATCATAAACAGGTAAATTTTTTTGTAATGGCCATCCCATCACCTTTCTTATCTAAACTTCCTGTTTATTCATGTTATTTCAAGTTTTTCTTAATCCCTATTTACACTACCATATTTTCATATCCGAACTTCGTGTTTATTTTGTCATTTTACTATTTCTACATATTTAATCCCTGATTGCGTAAACAGTTTTTCATCACATCAGTTTTCTTATCCAAACATCCTGTCTATTTTGTTATTTCTACATTTCTAACCCCCAATGGCACAATGTCAGTTATCTTAGTTATTATGATGCTCCTCTGTTTGAGTTTTATCCGTTCCCCCTTTTAATATGGCATTCTAATTCCTGATTGTAATTTTTATTAATTTGAACCTTGACCGGAAATTATTCTGGAACTTTCCCATCCATTCGATTTAATTACACGAATGTCCAACCTAGATGATGACTTTGTTGAAAAGAAAATTTTCTTCGTTGCAACTGTCTTTTTAATTGCTCAATATGTGTATGTAGCGAACATCTAATTGGTTAACCCCTCGAAATCCAAGAAGATTAATTAGCAGGCATCTATGCTCTTCGTAAATTCTATTCTTTGGCAAATGATACTTCTGAAACAATTGGAGTCACACATCTGTACTTTACACATTTTTAAATGCTTATAAATTTATCAGAGCTTTATCCGATCAATACAGTTTTGTATGAGATATATTCACATATGGGCATCAAAAAACATATGTCCTAGGACAAGATTCAACACGTATACATGTAAACTGGATGAACCAGTTGACCTTTAATAGGTAATTGTTATTACTATCATTATTAATAATAAGGTCATTACTTGCGAAACAATGATTCTTATAGCGTTTTCTCTCATCTATTCTGCTTGAATACATACATATGCCTATGAACCGGCCGCCATCGATAACCCAAAATAACGCTATACATACATAATTTCATTACACCCACACAACCAGATCACTGCTGACTAATTTCAAGCGCCCACTCATCAAGTGAAGCAACCGTTGGAATGACTAGTCGCGTGAGCAGACATAACGGTTATAAGGAGCTTATGAAATGAGAATCGTGAGACCAGTTGAATGAAGCCCTATTTCATCATCTAGGAACCTATCACACAACAAAACAAAACACTCGAAACGCCGTAGTTACACGCGGTGACCCTATTTCGCTTTGATTAACCCCTTCCACCCTGGTATACAATAAGCCATCACGAAACTAAAGCGATCGAAACACAAGACATACAAAAGAGATATCAGAACAACACGCTTTGATGAGCAGTAAAACAGTCTTTATTATTTTAACCAACTTAAAAAATTTGTTATTTTGATAGCAAAAATGCATTGTTATGTGACACAAACACATACATAGATGGTGTGTTTTTTTATTTTTATAAATTCCATTGGAGGCCAAGGGTAAATTCGCCACAATTTTTCGTATTCTGGGAATGCTTAATTAAGTTAAAAATAGAAACAGGTGTACAAGAGAATGGATATAGCATATAGAGTGTCTGTATTCACCGTATTAGAAAAAGTTGTAGTTTTAAAGTAATCCAAATAAGGAAAGATCACATGAGTGTTGAACACACACAGAGAACATATTAAAAAATATAAACAAAATTATAAATACATATATATGTCGTTTTTTTATATTGTCAATATATAATAGTATTAAAATAATAAATAAACATTTTTAAAATTCTTAAAAAATGAGTAGCTGCTGTTTTGTCTTATTATTATTATTTTCAATAGGTATCATTATTATAATTTTTAATAAGTATTATTATTATTATTAATAATATTAAATAAAATGTACGTAAAATTAACATCTGAATGCCCAAATACATTCAAGGCAAAACAGACGCGCTTATTAAACAAAACAAAAAAATATAAAATAATAAGTATATAGATATTTTAATAGATGTATATATATATATATATGTTGTATGATTTGTATCGATTTGTTGGAGTCAAATAATAAATCAATAAGTACATTGCCCTCTATACGACATAGACATTGATAGAATAAATAAATGGATGAATTAATTAATTCAATTGCAGGGCATTCAAAAGGCAGCAGTGTAGGAATAGTATATCATTTCCTATGTAAATAATTGTACGACTAAACACATTTAAAAAATATATATCAATGAAGAAAAAACATCTTAAGAACAAAAACGGCTAAAGTAAGGAATTGTTGAAGACTTCTTTTAAATTTACGAAAATAAATATTCAACTTTTAATCTGTTTCTAGTGGAAGCATGCTTAAAAATTATGGAAAGATCGTATGTCTCAAAATATGAGAAAATAGAAATTGAAATATCTATCTATCAGTCTATATGAAAGCTTTTCGAAAATAAAACAAGGAATGATAAAATACAATATTAAGTGTTTTGAAGGAAGAATGAACAGCGGATTTTTTGTTATTATTATTAATTCAAATAGCAACTTGCCTTAAATATGAGTAAAGTAATACAGAATCAATAAATGTACTGTTGTCATTGCCCGTGTTATTGATGTTTGACATAATCGCCTGCCCAGTGAACGATTCTCCATTCCAAGGATTAATTGTATTCACTGAATTATGATTACCACTATTCTCCAGCTGATGGTGATAAAACGATGAGGCTGTTAATAACTCATCATCAGGGTGTACAAAGAAACATTTCTCTCCATATGGACAATCACCAGTCCTTGCATAATTATAGCAATTCTGTGTACGATATTTTGGATGAAATTCTGGATGTTTTAAATCTTCTGGACCATGTGCGAAATGACAATTTTCACCTAAAGGACAATGTTTATGCTTTTGATAGTGAACACATGGTTGTGTTTTATACCGGGCATTATAAATAGCATCTTGTCTACGTTTGAATGGATGACGCATAGGCATTTGTACTGATTTGATATTATTATTATTATTAGCATTTGATATACTCTTGTTCATTGTTGCTGTCGATGTACTGATGATTGTTGATGAAGTCATCTGTTGTGATATTCTTGGAATCACCTGATAATGAATTTTATTACTGTCTCCAGTACCTTTGACGCTTTTCCCCGATGATGATGTTGGTGGATAAAAAAACAAATTTGGATCAATATTCTCTTTCTGTCGTACTAAAGGTCTTGGTTTCGGTATGACCACTGGTCCTTGAATGCAAGTTTGATGTGTTTGGTGGTGTTGTGGTTGTTGTTGGGATTGGCTCCATGTGAACGGTTGTCTAACTGCGTCATGCAAGACTCTCCGATCACGATGAATCATGTGTTCATAACCCAAACCAGAATCTGGACTAGTAGTGAAAGGAGATGGTACTTGTGTTGCTGTTAGGATAACCTCATTCGGTTGGCAAGTGCAAACAATCGGTGTATTAGCAGCAGTCGTAATAGTTTTTGGTATAATATTAGGCGTATCATCTGATATTCGCTTCATCTGTGGAGGAATATTCTCAATATTTTCATCATTACATGCTTCCCAAGCTTTATTGATTATCATTTTTAAATTATCTGGTAGACTAGAATTCTCGTCAATTTGTTTAACATCTGGCTGATTCTCTTTCGTATGTTTGTACATATCGTCTGGTAACCGGCTGATGGCATTCGTGTTAAGATGATGAAGACAGTCATCACTGGGAACAGTAATATTAGATGCTGTTATTGCTGCTGTTGACGACATTGTATTATTCACAACAACTGTATTCAATACATGATAAAACGGTGAATTTGTTATTCTAAAATTGGCTAAATTTTTTTGCATATTTTAACGTACACAAGAGTATTTTGTAGGTATGGTCGATAACCTCTCTGTCAGCTTTCACTCAATTCAAATGAGTTATTAAGAAAAAATTTCTAAGTTGTCATTCGTTGTTATTATTAGTTGCATCAACTTAATTATGATAGGCTTTTTTTTACATGACAATAAGGTCACACTGATTCTAACTGACCAATCAGCACAAGGTAAGGGAGATGTTTAGCCTGTATATAAATTTACCACCCACTCAATCGGTTTATTATCACTTCTAATCCCCCTCCACCTCCTCCTCCTCCTCATCCTACCTACTACTAATACTATCGCCTACTGCCTACGATTACACCCACTGATAGGCATTTCACGTGTCTACACACATATGGATAACTTTACGCTGGACTAATTCCCCCTATCATCACTACAGTTGTTATTGGTCACAACATTAAAGTTAAAAATTTTTTTTTGGGTAATGATGACAACAAGACAGACAGGATGCCATGACCAAATCAATATATCGAGCATGACAAATAAGTTTGTTTGTGTAATTGTGGTATTTCGAGTCTGTGTGTGTGCTTGTTAGGTGGGATTTTTCCCCGAAGAAGGATGACGTAATTGTTTTGATAAGATCCTTATTTTTGTCTTGTAAATTGTCCTAGAGGAGAGATGGAGAGACAGAGGAAGTTGAGTTAATCAAAAATGATCATTGTGAAAGTGATATCACAACCTCATCAAACTTTAAGGGATTTTTTTGATAAGATAAGACGTTCCTAGCTATTGTCTATTTTTTTGTCTTTTGTAAATAAGGCTACTGAACAAAATGATTGTTTAATCCGATTTCGTAAGGAAATTGTTACCCTAGTAGGGATATATGCCTCTGTGTGTATGTGCGTGTGTGGGTCAACCACTTTCGTGTTGGGAAATGTTAGTTCATTCAATCTTTAGAAGGCTAATTCAGCGTATGTAGGTGTGTAGGCTTGTGTATTAACGTTGATAATCCTGTGGTTAAAGATGAATTAGTGATAAACCTTAGTTGTAACAATGAGACTGATTATTTTCTATTACGTAATCACAAGTTATTACCAGTCTGTAATATTAGTTTAGACACCCCTTACACATGACAAAGACTGAAAGGTTCGACGTTTACCGTTGTTATTGTCGTTCTCTCTCTCCCAAACACACTAAAAATTTGCCCTCCACTATGAAATATATTTATTAAAATTTATATAAGGAAGATTTCAGTTCAGCGGCTGTTTTTCTTATCAGACAGTTTTTTACTTAAGTCGTTTATCTCAAGTTAGATGAAATTCAATTTGCTCTTCTGACAAAATATAACCAATTTGAAAGTTTGAATTGTAAATATGACTTGGGATCCTAGACATAAGGTGAGAACATGATTACACTCACCGACGAATCTTAAATAGGATATCATGGTGCCAGTATTTGGGAGCTACTGCATATTAGGGAGCTCTCGTGGAGCTGCAGCTAACTGGATAGCATAACCGTGCTTGAAACGATAGGTGTCAAGTCTCAGTGGATGCAGAGTGTTACTCATTGTGTAATGTAAGTATAATCACAACTGTAAAGTCTCAAAGTCTATGGAGTATGTTATTTCGGCATTGAATATTTCGAGCATATTAAAAATTACAGTCAATCTAATGAACTCGGATGAATGAATTACATGTAATTTAAAAAATGTGGTCAGTTATTGCTTGACAACAATTTGATTGATTAATGCTAGATGGTTTAAGGCAAACAGACACAGGAAGCCCTACTAATAGCAAGGTTTCGAGCTAGTTGGCACTGACCTGTCAGCAAGGCAGAGTATTTGCAGCCTTGAAGGAATTCATGTTCTTTCTGAGGTTCGAACCCGTGTCACCCAGTACCGCCTGCAGTCAAAGACGTTACCAGTGAGCTGTTCGGGTTCGCGATTGACTTGCTGTAGAATTGTATTAGAGACTTTTATAGGACACTAGTAACTAGTGTGGTGTGACTGATTACATGCTAGATCATTAACTGTCATCAGTTGGAAAAAATCACTGAAAATGAGAGTGTACTGAACAGGTGTTTCGTCCTAGCATATTGAGACCCCATGGCCTAAATAAGGGTCGAGGTCGATAGTCTATTTATTAATAACTATATTAGTGATGACATAAACATTTAAAAAAGACAGCAAGATTTTGATTTCAAAGTTAGGGCAGATACTGACAAGAAGCAGTTACAATTTTTGTACTGCTGAATTCTGATTCAGTCAGCTTCTGATGGTGAAGATGTGATTATCTTCGGTTTCACAGGTACTGTCGATATGGGTGTACTTCTGTGAAGTCCAGAACTTCTTAGATGAAACAGTTATTCAGAGCTCCATAGTTTTGTTGTCCAATCTCGGTTCATAACCAAAACTACGTTTTTTTTTAATTAAAAATGCAATCTCTCAGAAGATCACATAATTCATCCTATTATTCCAGGAAAAGATTTGTCGTAGAACGTTCCTTGATGCCAATCATTGTCGACAGAATGAGAAATATCGATGGAAGTGGTGCACTAAGTTGATGGAGAAGACGACATTATCTGGCATTGATGTCATATTAATGAGTGAGCAGAAGTTAGAATTCCTGTACCATTGGATTACGATTCAGTCTGTATATGATCACATCCGGAACAAATCGTTAAACAAAGATAGTAGTAGGCTCTATTCCTGATTACGATATGGGTGTCTATTTCTGTAGAGTAGTGTAAAATGTGGACGAAACAGCTACCCACAGCTCCATGGCTCCTCTAACTGATCTCGGTTCATCAATATAAAAAATCCCACAAGTGACCTCATTATTCGTCTCATTAGTCTAAGAAAAGGTGTCATTTATGAGAACATTGTCACACATTAAGGATAGAGAAATATCTTCCACTAAATAAGCTGATGTATGATTAGTCTCAGTACTGAGTACACATAACATCCTGTTCAATAAATTATCTTGACCCTTCGTAAAAACAGTAAGAAGACGTGATTTCCAACATTTTAAGTACCTACACTACTTTTCATACATTTTTATGTAAGAAATATATATATATATATATATTAATGGCTTTGGAAAATTATTCTGTCTGATGTTGTCTACCCCAATAGAACATCAATAGAAGAGACGTCTGATGTCATCGGGGGATTTATAGAATATAAATCAGGTTTGATCACAAACTTTAATTCATTATATACCGAGCGGTGAGAAGTCGCTACTCTGGTTGGTTTACAGTGATATGACTGGTTTCATACTTTAGATCTGAAAGAAATCCTTTTCTGGCCCGCCACCTGATCTTGAAAGAAGTATTGAGCAAGGCCAGCTGTTGATGAAGGTCTGTAGTCTGCTCGAAGCGGCCTTCGTAACGCGGCGTGGTGCTATGTCTCCGATCCGTATAGCAAGTACCACTGACTTCCCATTGGAGTTGAAAAATCGGATCTTATTTTTCATGCCGAGTACTAAGTGCTGTTGACCTCCACACAGACTTGAGAGAAATGACAGCTTGCCTTGCTTTCATGATCCTCGCCTTGATATCCTCGTCAGTGCCATCCTCCTGAAGTTGAAACGATGCTTCCCAGATCAGAAGGTAGATAAATGCGGTTGCTTCTCTCAGCTTTCTCCCATTTATGCAGGCTGATTGTTGTCTCTGGTCAGTTGTTGTTGTTGCTGTTAGTCAGGAATTTTCATCACCTACCTCTGTTTTCTCTATGTTAACCTGAGGGCTTATCTTTGATGCTTCTTCTACCGCCAACTTGTTGCTTTTCACTTGCATATCTTCTAGTTTGTGGGAAATCATCGCTGAAGTCCAGATCCTCCAAGTTCTTAGTGTGACTCTATTTTTTGCCTGTTTCCTCGCTTCCCGCTCTCTATCTGTCGCATTATCCAGTCTACCGAAATCGGGAAAATCATCGGATATAGTAGGCAGCCAGTAGACCTTGTCTTATTCCCGTCTTCACTTCGGAGGTATCTGTTCAATGATGATATGTAGTGTTGCGATTCGATCGATGCATGGCTTGTTACACCTGAATCCAGCCTGTTCCGGTCGAAGTTTTCCATCCAGTGCTTGTTTGATTCTCTCCAGTTTGATGCGGTTCAGTGTTTTGCTTGTGATGGACACAAGAATAATACCGTGCCAGTTCTTGCATTGACTTTAGTCTCCTTTCTTTGGTAAGTTTATGAACTCTAAGGTGTATTAAAATTACCAATATAAAACTATTGACTAGTTATATGAAGGTACTGTGTTCTGTCTCTTGAAATCTAAGCTGGGTGTACACAACGGAAGTGTCTTCCCCACAAAAATAACTAGAGAAGAAGGAAATTGTGCAGTTTTCCTTGGTTATTAATAATTCTTCAAGTAATATCGATTTATGAGTGTGATTAGTGATTAGTTCAGTTAACATGGAGCTGGTCGTGGAATGCAGTCTTGAAGATGAGAAACTATTCAATGATATAGAGACCAAAAAAGGAAGAAGAAATACTAAAAACTGATTTTTGGTTTTGCTATGAACTTACCTCTATATGTTTTCTAATGTGGCTTACAAGTCTCAGTTCATCAAAAAAAAATCAATTTGTAGGGAGAGTAGATAAATAAAAGTGTCAGACTTAACCAATCAAAAGGTACAATAATACATATCAATCATTTTTAAAAATAATACTGAAAATTGGTGAAGGATAAAGTTATCAAAGCCAGGCAGCAAGAATCAAAAAGGGAAGATACGCCTTCATCAACCTGAAAGCAGTTGCGAAATCTGCACTCCGCCTAAACCAGCATAAACAACAAGATTCGGATTCTATTCAACACTAATGTTAAGTCAGTCAGTCACTTCTTCTATACGGGTCAGCAAGTTGCACTGCGTGACGCGAAAAGCATTTCCCCCAAGTTACAGACCTTTATCAACAGCTGCCGCCTTCGCTGGCTGGCTCCATACTGAAGACATAATGGCCAGTCGGCCAATCAGAAAGAATCAATAACAAGAAATTCATGCTGGCAACAAACCAACAGACGAGAGCCGATAGCTCGATAAATATGTAGGAGGAAACGGAGATGGATCGGGCATATGCCAATGAGGAGGCAGTCGACAGACTGATATCAGTTAGAGAACTACTGAAAACCATCAAG